GAAACTCGACACCAGAGCACATCTCTCCCAGAACTCAGATACACAGGAAACTCTCAACCCCGCCAGGATTCGGCGACGAGCTTCACAAGGATCTCTTCGAACAAGACCTTCACCGGTATCTCGCTTTCTCTCCAAGAGCAGCGTTGCCGTGAACTTCCCCTCTTGGGATCAACGTACCTCACCTAGTTGGCCTGGTTCGCCCTACCGTCTGGAGTCTCGCACTCGGTCGGTCGACTCTCGCCTTCGTCTTTCAACCACTGTGTCTCGCGGGCCGAGGCCTTTGGCTGCTTCGTCGTCTTGGAACTCTCACTATCAATCCGAATACCCCGCCACATTACCCCCCACGCCGCCAGAGGAGGATATCCACGTCGCGTGGAACCCCAAGCCCGAGATGATGCTGTTCGACACACCCTCTCACCACCCGGGATCCATGGCCATGATGGACGACACCACGAGTGTGGACAATTCCTCTGCGACCGGTGCTTCGGACACACTCAGCAGCCCATCAGATGGGCTTTCTCATAGGTCCTCCAGCTCTGGAGGAGGCAGCCCTGGACCGCGCGATGACATGGACTGCCAGCAGGATATTGGCTCATGGCTGGATCATGGCATCAACTTGACTGGTAAGCTTTCGATACGTCCATGCTCCGAAGGCCGATCACTAACCTTTCCCAGCTTCATCACTTGCCCTCTGCAAGACACGAGGCGAGGCCGTCAAAATCGTCTCCCAGACTCTTCCATATCCCAGGACATCTGATCAGGCAGTATCAGTACCGAAAGCCGACAATGTCTTTCCCTCCATTGTGCAGGCTGTCCACAACCACTTGCAGCCTGACCAGTCACCCTATATCAATGTCACCCACGCTGTACCTGAGCAATTCAGTCTTTCTAATCTTCCCCACTCTCCCCCCACCACCCCTCGTTCTCCTACTGCTGTTGAGGAATACTTCAACGCCACCGTTTTCTCCAGTGCAGCAGTTGTGAGTGCTTACCATGACTACCGTGGACCACTCCAACGGCAAATGTCCCACGCCCCGATGCCCATTGTCCCCCCTCGCAGTGTCCACATCTCGGTCCTCGAGCGCTATCTCCCCCCAACCTCCGCTCAAGAATATCGTGATTTGTTTTGTCGTACCCGTCCATCTTTCCTCGTTGACCGTATGAGCGAGCTATCACCTAATGGCGGCTCCCTCCTCTTCGTGTACCCGACCAAGAAAGGTGCATCGACCTTCAAATCCCAGTACCTGGGCCCCATACTCGATCCCCTCCTCCGCCAACTCGTTGTGGTGAATGAATTGTCTGCAGACGTGGGCCGCTACCTCGGCAAGCTCTCGCCCGTCTCTCAAATGGATGACTTTGCCACCATGAAGGCGAACATCGTGGCACTCTGTGAATCACTGAGCGATAACGATTCCTCCTCTCGATTCCACGTGGCCGACGCAGGCCGTGGAGAGACCCATCTTGACCGCAGCCTCTGGGCCGAGTGGTTCATCCATCAGGAGAAGCCCCGCATGAAGGAAGTCCTCAGTCTGTACTGGCAAAACGGCCGCCGCTCATCTAAGAACGCGAGTTCTGGATTCTCCGGCATGATGGGCAACAAGGAAGTCACATCTTCCGGGCTCCTGAGCGAGATCTGCGATGGCGTCCGCAAGCGGCGCTATTGCGAGGACAATGAGCCTCGCGATGGTATCGAGCTTGGTGTCTTTGTGATTCGTCGAACAAATTAGATCGTTGCAGAATTGCTAGATCTCTCTTTCTCCCAGTTCCTCGAACCCTCAACCCTTTTCATTCTTCCACCCCTTCTTCCACAATAGCATATTTTAACAAACGGCCTCCACAAAAGATGACATGGGACCCATAGGTGTCCCCGGTGTTGGATTTTGATTTTCCGGTGCGAAATAATTCTTTCGCACCTTGCATGACTCGTTTGGGGTTTCCATTCCCGCCGCGAACATTTTGAATGAACTATGAATACCCCGGTTGTTGTTGGCGATTCGGGTTTTATGAACTTTTTGGAACTTCTTTTTCCCCTGTCTTTGTGACGGATATAGATATACACGATTTAGTTGGAATATATCTGATATTAACAATATCTTTTCTTTTTCTGCAATCTAGGATAGTACTGGAGTAAGTATATTATGCAGTGGTCGTGCTCAGGGGCCTCGTCAGGATCTCTTTAGGCATCGCCGCGACAATGGTGTTCGCACTCACTTTGCCAAACTGGTCCTATGGCTTTTATTGCAGAAAATGGCCTATTTTCGTTATAGTAACATATGTACAATCTTAAGCCAAATGCATCAGATTACTGAACTACGTCACCACGAACAGAGGCCCTTGATCTAGCTGAGAGTTATGAAGATACACTCGCTGCCGCTTGCCCTGGTGTCATATCTCGATATAGAGTAATCATTGTAACTTCTTCTACTTGATTACCTGTTTAAGTGGCCGTTACAGCTGCGATCAAGCTTGTACAGCTGAAGGTCATCCGTACCGAAGTATGTAGCTTACAATAGCTGTGGTCCCGATTGTAAGGAACACCAATAGAAGAGGGGAAAACTGATGTATGTCAATTCATTATGTTTATCATTCTACTTCTTCCAAACAATTTCTTTCAATTAGAATCAGGAAATCCATTTCCTATTCACATCGTCCCATTCACTTTATTGCCTATTCTCCTCGGGACGGCCAAACATTCTGCCGTCCATATTTGACTGTGACCCACCCCTCCCATCTCATCGTCCTTCGATCACCAACTTAATGCAATCTACCACCCTTTCTCACCCACCCTCGCCACATACAATGTCTTACCCGAACCCTCTGCCCCTCAGCCCCGGCGGCGGGGCTGGCGGTGCACCCTCGAAACGCGACAAGCGACGCACCGCGCTCCAAGAGCGGCTCCAGGAACTGACGGGTCAGTTCAGCAATAACCGGGACATCCAGTTTCGTCAGCAGTTGCACGCACTCCAGTGCGATATGACGCTGATCAACAATGCTGATCCTTACGGGACTGGACCGCTACCAGACTCCGCAGAGAGCATTACTGCGTTGATTGAGGAGACTGTTGGTGGCGGCAGCAAGTTTGCGAAAGAGATGGCTGGCCTAGCTGGATCCTGGTATTCCAAGTTCGTGCAGCAAGTTAATGGGATTAAGGAGAAGAGAGATGCAGAGTTGGTCATGGCCATGGTGAGTTTCCTGTTTTTTCTCATCTAGAAGGAATTTACCCTAATGGCCTTTTTTTTCTCCTACAGAATAACTACAATAACGTTATGGAAAGACAACAGCGGGACCGTGACTTCCGCACTTACTTCGCACAAGAAGAATTTCGTCAATTGTCTTCCACCCTTCGAGAGCGATTGGTGCAGAATATCTCCGGGAAGCGCGCCCGTCTGATGCGTGAAAAGGAGCAGCTCGACATTGCCGACACCAATGCCCTTCTTCTCCACCCCAACCAGTTCAGCATCACAAACCCTGCCAGTCCTGGTGGTATCCACAGCAACCGCAAGACTACTCGGCATACCCGTCACCGCGTTGACCTCGACGAGCTGGGCAACGGTTTTATGTCGGAGTTAAACAAGCGCAAGCGGAAGGCTCCGGAGGAGGACAATGGGTCGCCTGCGCGGGACGCGGGCGATGCTACTCCCGCGAAGCGCAACAAGGCCGAGGTCACAAAGGAGCAGGTCGCACCTTCCTACTCGATCCACTCCCTCTTCACCGACAAGGAACTCAACGCACACGCAAACCAGGCACACCTGGCGACTGTCCACTTCTTCTCTACCTCCAGGCGCCCAGACCACGGATCCGGCGCGGTGACGAACGGTAACAATACCGATGCCGAGGATACTCCCGAGGGCACAGGCCATGAAGATAACGGCACCCCGAGTGCGGCCGACATGATGCGCACCGCCAGCCACAATTTCCACGCTACCCGATCTACCCGCACCACGGCCGCGCACAGTGCTCTGAGCGCCCTAGCCGACCTGGCCGATAAGCCCGCCACCCGCCCCATCCTCCCCTACCACGTTCTGTCCAACCACCACGCGCGACCCAACGGCAATGCGCCCCCATTGACCTCCCTGATGAACGAGGAAGTCGACGACGACTGCGCTCGCATCAGCCGCCTGGCCAGCAAACCACCCAATTGGATCGACGCATCTCTAGTCGAACTCGTGGCTGCACCTCTTCCTACTTCTGCAGAGACGATCGATGGCCACCCGGCCGATCCCGCTGTCTTCAGTCAGCTGCACCCAGATTTCTCGCCAGCCATGGGCATTGACTGGACACCTACCGTCCATAACCCGGGCTTCGAGATGTTCCAGCCTGCGGCTATGGAGCGCGAGCGCAGTCGCAAGCGTACCCGCAATCATTGAGGGATAGGCACATGAAGTTTCGGATGTACGTTAAGATGGGATGGAACGGTGTTTACTGCAGGAAGCAGTTACGGATTACCCTTTATCATTTATTATATTAGCTATGTTGTGCGGGATGGACCTCGGAGGTGTTTGGGATTTCGATTTCTTCTTCTTCTGTGTTTATTTTCTCTTCTGTTTTTTCGGACTCACGGCGTTATTGGGAATCACGCACATATAGTACTTTTTTTTCTTAGATTCATGCTTGCCCCTATGTTGGGTAGTACAATTTACATGGATACCTTGTTCTTCAGTCTTCGGTAACTTGATTCTTAAGTGGTCAACACCGAAGAAACCTACAATGCAACCAAAGACGTCTTCAAAGCCCTCGAACATGTCCACAGAAACAACCTAAAGAATCTTCAATTCTGACACCCTAGCGAAATCTACTATCCAGAAGTCGACTATTAGGTTTAATTGATTCTGTACTTCTGGGTGATGTTCTATGTCCTTCGATGTTGATATCGACTTAGGGCTAGCATCCATATCATCATCATGACAAAAACGGAACTCATCACCGACTATTCTATCAAGCAGATTCTCAATATTTCTAAACAGCAAATACAATAAACATCAAACCAACCCTCCATCTTCATGCTCCGGCGCGCCCTCGCCATCCACCCTCCCATCCTCAAACCACCAATGACAGCACCAGGACGACCAAAAGCCGAATCCCCCAAACCCCTCTTCAGCGGCAACGTACCAACCCTACAGACCTTCGCCGAAGACACCGCAACCCCAACTTTCCACAGCCGCATCCTCCCCGCCATAAAACACGATTACCTGGAACTCGAATCCCACAGCAACAAAATTCTCTCGTCAACAGACCCAGACGAACAAACACGGTTCCAAAACCAACTCACCTGGGAACTAGCCCGCCACCTAATCGGTGAGGAACTCGTCGTCTATCCCGCGCTGATCGAGTCTCTTCCCGACGGCCAGGGAATAGCAGATAAAAACAGACTCGAGCACCAGGGTGTCAAAGAGAAGTTGAAAACGTTCCAGGGTCTTTCATCTACGGATCCAAAGTTCGTGCCCACGCTTGAGGGGCTCATGCGGGACTGGGCCATTCACGCGAGACATGAGGAGGAGGTGGACTTGCCCAGGCTTGAGGAGTTGTTGTCTAAAGATGAGAGTGTTGAGTTGACTAAGTCCCTGGACCGGGTCAAGATCTTTGTCCCGTCTAGATCGCATCCGCTTGCGCCTACCGAGCCGTTCTTTGAGACTGCTGTTGGGCTTTTGACGGCGCCGATTGATTCCCTGGCGGACTTGTTTCGGAAGTGGCCTGATGGGAAGGAGAAGAAGTCGTAGGATTGGGGGTTTTTGCAACCTACAACTCGTATTACTACCCTTTGTTCTACACCTAGTAAGCTTCTATCAGTTCGCCATAGTCTAGTATGGATCGTTCAATGTATTAAGTCCTAGAGTCAAATCAACAAGAAAGAGAATTTGTTAAGGGCTAAGCCTAAGCCTAATTAGAGTACGCTAAGCTGGACAAACAATAGAAATTAACCTCTAGTATCTTTTCAGGGTTAGAATAGGAAGCAACTCTTCTATCTCATCCCTCCACAGCCAACATTGCCGATCCCGTCGCGTCCAACCGCTGCCCTGAATAGCCATACCGCTGCAAGCGACACAACCTCCCTAGTCGATTTGCAGTCTCGATCGCAGACTGCTGCATCTCGTCATCGCCCGATGAAGATCTCCGCCGCTTCCAAGCCTTACGGAACTGGTGCTGCTCGTCGTCCTGCTGCCTATGCCGCATAGACAGGAAACAAGCATGTGCTTCCTTCTCTTCGCTGAGTGCCTGAACCTGAAGCATCGACAACTTAGTTCATGCTTCCTTATTGGTGCTGTTCGGGATCAAATTCGGAAATGATAACGAACTCAACTGCATGGAACAATACAGTAGTAATGCAGAAAGCACAGCGAGGAAAAAAAAGAAAAACAGTCTCCACATACATATGATAACCACACCTCCTGCTCAGAACTCCACGCCTTCTGACACTTCCCCAACTGTCTCTGCGCATGCACAAGCTCCCTCTCCTGCTCAGCTGTCCACCGGTCTCGACTGCGGATAATACTCGCCCAACTAACAGCGCGAGCGAGCTGGGCCCGCGTCGGACGCGCCTGGCTGGAATAGCGCACCTGGTCCTCGGAAGTCGAATCCGACTCTGGCCCCGGGATATTTTCCGATAATGTTGACTGCGAGTTGGGCGTTATGTGGTGTGCGTGCGTCTTCACCGCTACCTGCACAGGACTGTGGACGTCACGGTGCATGAAGATGGATTCATTGTTCTGGGCCTGGGGGCTGCTGTTGGAATCTGAAATTTCTATCTCGGGGGCTTTTCCTTTCAGACTTGTTCGTCGCCTCCAGGGGAGGGATAGTGGTGGTAGGGCTCGATGGACGATTGTAAAAACCGACATGGCTGGGATCATCGATACACATAAACCACATGTATGGAAAATTAATAGAAGAGATAATGGAAGTACGGAGTTATATACTTGTTACCCTTGTCTCAGGGAATGTTCTTCTCCCATATCGCTACCAGCCCTTGCTTTTATAATGTCCCGGTTCGCCTCCCAAGTGGTACTTCACGATCTAGCCAGCCAGACCGACACCCAAGGACGAAAACGCGTGCAGGGACAGCTCGCAGGCACTCGCACGGAGGTGGGGAATGCGAGGCTCTCCGGCTTCTGCTTGGCTGCCCACGCGAGAAGTATACGATCGTGCAGGAGGTGCGGGGTGGCCTGGTTGGTCAGATAGCGGAGGACTGCAGGTCTGGTCGAGACTTCAATGTATATTTTGTTTGCTTCTGGGACGGGTTGACAGTTTGAGGGCTCGGTTGCACAGCTGTTTCATTAAGATGAGACAAAACGGGGTTCGGTTGACGTTGGCGTTGACGTTGACTCGGCTGGTGTAATGAGCTACACTGTTGCGTTATGCTTTCAACTCATACGAGAAGTGTTTTAATCCTACACTTCAGAAATTCGGGGAAATATGGGATCTTCATGCAGGAGGACCTCCGTAATTCGCTGGATACATGTGATATACACATGGTGTTCGCAGTTGAAGTCTCAAGGATCCTTTCCGGGATTTGGTACTTTGGTCACTTTGGTCGAAAATTTGGAAGTTATAGTATACAGCACCCCATCCATGTCCAACCGATGAGGCCGGAGACTAGAGAGACCTAAACTATGTAATCACAGGCGAAATAACCTTCTCGCCCCCCAATGCTGCATACAAGCCTGCCCAATAACCGTGAGGGAATCATAACCAGAACAACAGACGCATTTAAAACAAAACCGTGACGCCAGATGCTCATCCGATATCCAAAAACCAGTACATAATATAAGAAGAAGTGGGCAGGAAAAGAAAAAGACGTTCATCGCCATGTATCCACCGAAGTACCGCGATTGGCCTTGGCCTTTCTTTCCTCTCGGATCTGCTCACCAATAATGATGCTAATCAGTCTCCGATGCAGATCAGCTTCTGTCCAATCGATCCGTCCGCTGCCACCATATTGGATGTCAGCGCGAGAAAGCTCGTGGGCAAAGCGATCGATGATGGCAAATTGGATCTCTGTGATGGGTACCCCGTGATGACCATCGGAGGTCCATATCCAATCACCGATGATGGCAGCCCGCCCTGGAGCATCGTAGTATTCAAAGTGCTCAGGGTACCGCTTGGCAACTCGGTAGATACGACGAAGCGCGGCGTAATGCTCGTCGGAAAAGTACCCGAAGATAGCGAGTGGTCGTGGCCCTGGAGACGACCCATCCTGGTGGTTCACCGGCTCTGCATTCTCCGAGAGATTTTGCGAGACACTCCGCTCAGAAACGGACACCTCCTCTTCTTCTAAGAGGTCTCTAGAAACACTTCTCTCGTGTATTAGGTCATCCTCTTCTTCCATTGTGGGGAGAGGATCTTGCTGTATCTGGGGAGACTGGGATGGTGACGGCTGTCTCCAATGGCTCGCGCGTGATTGGCTCGCTATCTTTGAGAGCGGCTCATCCTGGAGATGTCCGTCAAGCCCCTTCGCAGATTCAATGCTGGCCATTTCCTCTTCATCGTCCAAGTCGGATGCTTCCTCCGGGATAGTACTTACGCTTGAGCTTCTGTCACGGGTGGGAGCTTTCAGCCATTGCGGGGTGAAACTGGTTAATTTACTGAACCAGGATGATGCTGGCTCCTCCCTGTCGAGCTGACGAGGTAGTGGGGTGGAGGCAGAATCAACGTTGCCAGATTCCGACTGGGTGAAGGCGGAATTAGGAACACTGGTGTTGTCATGATCTTCTTCCAATAGTTCTTGCGTAAGCGGGCTTTTTTGCGCAGCCTTCGGTGACGTCTTGCTGTCGAGGAACGCGTTTTGTGAATTGGGGAGCCGTGGGTTGGGAGTATCGGGGCTGGACTGGGAGAGAGGTTGTAAACGAATACGCGCTGGCGTGCGCGATACCGGATCCTTCATGACAGAACTATTGATTGTGGAATTTTGTGTCTCTGATTGCTGGGCGAGTAAATTCCGTGGTGTACTCGTTCCATTGTAATACCTTGCGCGGTTTGGTGTATCCTCTTCTGCAAGCAGAGCAGACAAATCGACTTGTTGTTCACGGAGCTCGCGAACTTTAGACGGGCCAAAGCGCGCTACATAATCATGCTCTGAAGTAGCGTAAGGTGATAAGCTCCTGTAGTCTTGATCCGCGGAAATTGGAAGGTTGCCCAAAGGACGTGCAAGCGGCTGCGGGGGAGACTGAACATGATCATCCTTGGAGTTTTGTGAGATATGGCTGTGCTCGTTGGCTTCGAGCTGCCAAATATCATCATAACCATCATCCTCATCTTCTAAGGGCTCGGGCTCGAGTTCAACATCTTGGAGCACATATGCTGGTTCTGGTACGGACTCAGGCGCAGAATCTTTGGGATTCTCATCAAACCCATTTCCGGTCTCGGATTCAAATCGCTGTTCATATCCACGTCCGACGTCCCCATCATCTTCATTTTCATCGCTATCAATATAAACGACCGACCGTGAGTTCGAAGCCATCTGGGCCTGGCCGCTGACTGCTTCTCGTTCAAGCTGCCATTGTGCCTCCCGCTGTGCCTTTCGGTGGGACATTGGGCTTTGCTGCACCCAGGTATTGGGCTTGGAATGTGACGGTTCGGTGTATACGTCTTGCGTCTCGACGTCGGCTTCGACGGGTTGATCATGCTCCTGCTCTTCCAATTCTTCGTCGTTGAAGTCGTTATAGTGACGTGCTTCTTGTTCTTCTTGTTCCTCCTGGAGACGAGATGCTTCATGATCTGCTGCTATGGCCGCAGCCTCATCTTCCTCGGCGAGCATTCGACGCATAGCAAGCTCCTGCCCCAGCCCCATAGCAGCTCGGAGTTCTCGCTGGGTTTCAGCGTTGAATGTGCTGAAAACACCCTCCAACCGACGTCTTTTGTGACGAGCATTACTCTTGCCTGACCACTCATCTTCTTGAGGCCTAAAGGGACCTTGCAGAGCCAAGCTAAGACGAACAAGTTTGGCCAAGCTGGTCAATGTGCTCTTCTTCGGAACAATTGTTGGTTTAGCAGGAGACGATGCGGCAGGGAGTTTAGGGTAGGCAATCTCATTCACGTAGTTCATAGATTGCCGCTCAGTCGCATGTGCAGAGCGCTTCTCCGGAATATCGGTGCTAGGATTTTCGTATAACCCAGGACGTAGGGCTGTAGAGAGTGAACTGGATGACTTTTGAGCGCGCAAATCACCTCGGAGGTCTTCGATCGTTGCGGGAAGTTTGCGTTTCAATCGTCCTCCCACTTCCTTTGGTTTGGGACCACCGTCTGTCACAGCGCTGGAGCCGAATCCATGCTGCTTGGCTGATGGGAGTGTATCAAGGGAAATCATAGTGAACCCTTCACTTTCCATGATAGTGTCAAATTCCTCGTACTCGTCTGCGGGATCTTCAACGGGTTCAGTTTCCGCATGATGGGGTTCTATCCGTGGGGGATGATCCATGTCGGCTCGTTGGGTCTGATTTTCTTCATCGGCCAGCGAAGACGTGGGGGTCGGAGTCGGATATTTGTGCGATTGTGGGCTGGCGGTATTGTGAGGAGAAGCTCTCGATGACAAGATTGCTCTCTCACGTGTAGGTGATGGCATTTTCGAAGGGGTAGAGTGGATGTTTTCATCATCCAGAAAGTGATGTTCCGTAGCTCCGATAACAGGCGTCTCCAGACTCGTTCGGCCGTACTCACGGCGAAGATTGCCCTGATCTTCCGTGACCGGCTCAGTTGGGTCGGGAAGCTCTGCAATTGACATGTCTGAGTTCCCCCAAGAGTCATCTTCGGAGTCCGCATCCCCTACGAGATTCAAGGGACTGGCGTGCGCATTGCTCCCAGCGAAAGAATCCGTCGGACTGAATCGTTGTTGGCTTAGGCCGGTTTCACTAGCTATAGTATCCATCGGACTGTATTCACGTTGGCCTGGACCAGCTTCATTGGTCGTGGTGTCCTTCGGGCTGGATTGCTGGGCTTGACGGGAATCACTATTGGGAATGATATCCATCGGACTAAAGGGATGTTCATATTCCACAGTGGGCGTTGGGTGATCATCCAGCAGCTGGAAATCTTGTGGTTTGGGTTTGGGCGTGCTCCGTGGCCGGCCTCTTTTGCGTGGCTGAGAATTACCAACTTGTGTCCCAGGAGCATGCCCCGGCCCAGGAGTATGTCCAGGGCGAGGGGTCTGTCCAGCGCCCCTGAGGGACGGGGACAAATTTATGTCAGACTTTCGTGGACGCCCTCGCCGCTTTAAGGGCGTCTTCTCTTTCAATGGACTCCTCTCGTCCTTTAATGGTATCATCGTTGTCGTAGTTGAGGGCTTTAATCGTTTGCGCGACGGGCTACCCCGGTTCTCGTCATCTTCATCTTGTGTCGCTTCGAGCGTGAGTCGGATGCGCCACGGGCTAACATTTCCCTCCTGGAGTTTCTCCGGAGAGAGCGACCTCTGCCGACCACCATTGAACCTCATTGTCGGCGACCCGGGGAGTATAACATCGTTGAATTGAATGGAATGCGCGCTTTTCGCGGGACTGAGGCTGACGCGCGGTCGCGGTCCCTTGGCTGGAGTTCGTGATTTGGCTACCATAGGGGACATCCAGCTTTGGCGCCCCGCAAAAGGCTTAATGGGCGATGAGATCAAATATTGGGCATCGCCTGGAGGACCCAGGATATCGGGGGAGGAGCTCTGGCTGCGCGACGACGCCGACATGGCGGACTCATGTGATGGAATCTCGGGAGGCACGCGTGCCACCGAAGGGGTAGAAGAGCGCACACTAAGATATGCGACGACCCACAGAAAAGTGCGGTCGATCTCGTAACTATTCACAGGCTGACTTTATGATACGGAAATAAGAGAGAAAACGCGGGGCAGCCATAAACAACTCTCCCGATGCGGTACGAAAGAGCGGTTCTCGAGGTGGTTAGGTAAGCAGCTCCCCAAACAAACAACCTCGGGAGTCTATTATTGGACACGATCATTCTCTTTCTTCCCCTCGATGCCTTGAAACATATGAGAAGACGTGACAATGCAATTTCTTCGGCCATCGGCTCTATTCTCTACAAATCTCCTTCGACGTCACCCACATCGGGCACTTGCTTCAATGTCAAATTGCAAGCCTCCACCACTAGACGTACACACTCCATGACCATTCCCACATCTTCCTTGGAGATCCCCAACCGCCTTATTCCTCGGATATGCCAGTAGGTCGTCCGTGGCATGTCTTGACCCATGACAGCCGGCAAGACTACCAGCTCTGTATCCACGTCGTCCAAAACCTGACGGTCGGACAAGACTAACCCATAGGTGATATCAGCGACCCAAAAGCCAAAGTCTGGATGATTTTTGAACAGGGCAAGCAGCGAACTGGTATTATGCGCATATATCGATTTTAACCAGTCCATCCCCCGCGCATGATTTGTGTCGTCGCGCTGCCAGCCTTCTCGGGTGAAGGAACATTCCGCATCTTCCTCGGACACAAATTTGTTGATGTTGAGGAGTGCCTCTAAGGGTTTTGGGAGTCCGACAAGAGTAATTTCCTTGAATAGTGCCTCGCGCATGCGTCGAATCAACTCCGAGCGTGCAGTGCTGGTCGAATGTGCATGTTGGCCTATCAGGTACAGGTATAGCTGGCCACAAAGGTGTAATTCTGGCGTCGTCGTAATCGCGCTTAAAGTTGTGAGATACCACTTTTCATTGGCGATGTTCGAGGCTTTGAATTTGGCTTCAATCGTGGCAAAGAGCTCAGACCAACGTAGGTCTACGGTGGGATTATCGACATCGGATGTGCTCATAGTTCAAGTCAGACTGAGTTTATCGGTATCTTCTCCTAAATTGATTAAATGTTTGAGATCTGAAATCCCAGGAAGAAGAACTCCAAATACTTAGTGGATGACGCAGGGCTGAGGTTGTACCGTGGCAATCCACGGATCTGGGATCCTTAAATGCCGTGCAATCCATGGTTCGCACAAGTAACTCTTCCAAAGTTACCTAGAATATAGAAGAGCTCCTCTGAATCTTGTCTTAGGAAGTTGGCTTCACTAACAGCCCCAAGCTATCCTGCGCATTAGTCTCGATGGATTGGGCGTGGTCCATCTTATGAATAAACTTATGAATAAACCGAGAACCTGGGCAAGAATTGCCGGAAAGAAGAGCAATCTAGCACTGACACCCATGCCCTTGATATACTAGACCCGTTCCTCTTTAGGAAAGAATCGGGACCCGGCAATAGATCCAACTTGACCTAGCATGCCGAAAGTCACTAGGCTAGCACCACTTCGGACGTAGATCCCCCGTTGCCCGTGGGCCATTTCGACTGCCTTCAAGCATGATATAATCAAACTGTCATAAATGGGTCTCGAAGCCGATGGCAAAATCCGGAGGAAGGCAACATATATAGCTGGTACTTGATATTCTCGCATTCTTTCTTCTTACAAGCTACTTGTTCAAAGGTTTACCCAGAAATACCGAAACCCCCAAGATGACGACCGAAAACGGAGCGAAGAGAATCATCGCAGAGGTCTCCGGTCATGATATTGATCAGTGGGTGCGCACACCTTCCTTCACGGCGGAAGTCGAAGAGGTAGGAGACTCCGTACTATCTTTGGCATTCATGTGCCAAAAAATGAAAAGGTTTACTGACTTTTATCAGTCCGTCCGTGGCCATATTCACCAGGAACTGACTAGTTGGCTCTTCTACCGCAAACTGGGTGCTGACTGTGTCCGAAGCAACATCTCCTTGCATGGATTTGCGCGGTGAGCATACCGTCATTTTTCGGGGTCTCGTGGAATACCTTCGACGCTAACACTATACAGACTCTGGGAGCGCTCGGCGGAAGAGTGCTTGGCTGATTTCAAGTGGCTAGAGAAATACCTTCTCTCACGTGGAGGACGCTCGAAACCTACATCAATTGAAGCTACTAAGTTTGAGTGGCCCGATAACCCGATCGAGCCAGTTGGTCCCTGTAAAGAAGCATTCTTCGTGGAGAAGAGGTTGTTAGAGGATCTGGAACGGCTTTGCTCGTTGGCGGATAAGTCTGGGGACGTTGCATTGACAGACGCCATTCAAAGCAGATTCCTGCGCAAGGAGACAAGGCACGTTAAAAGCCTCGGAGACCTCCTACGGCAGGTAGTGCGAGCCTCCAAGCAGCCTGGTCTTGGTATCTACCTCCTCGACAAGGAACTACGGCGTACCGACGGGGTTGTTCCGTGGGATAGCGGAAATGAGCCTCGCCAACAGCAAGATAAAACTACAGAGGTCTAAAGTACATGAAACTGCTAGGTAGCCTTTGATCACGGAATTCTTTTCCGATATGTTGGTACTTGATCGACAAGGCGAGGTGCCTAAAATTGAAATTGCGGAATATTACCTTTCCCACTATCGAAACTTTCAGTATCGAAAAGGGTGAGCGTATAAACCGTACACGGGTTGGCGCCAAGACTGAGAACGAATCTAAAGGATCGTTTCGTACTGCATCTCAAAAGGCCTTCATTGCTATAGGCGTTCTTCTGTAAACCAATCAAACACTTTGTGCAAATCCGAACTTGCAGAGGATCTGTTCCAGCATTTGTTCAGGGAGGCCACAGATAACAAGAGGCTCCTATAGGCAAAGGAAACTGGATGGATTAGCAGTGGTGGCATCGAAGAGTAAGTACCTAGGTTCATGCGGCTAAAATTGTTAAGGGCGAGACTTGCTGAGAGGGAATTTGCACCTATAGCCCAGGGGTAGTAGTTGCACTGGTGCACTATTTTCTCTACAAATGCTACATATGAATATATAGGAAAGTCCATTTAAAAATTAAGCCATTTTTGGTCCTTTTCCGCTGTCTAACAAACTGAGAAAGGGGGTAGAAAATATCTATATAACCAGACATATAAAAGACTATCGGAGAAGACTACCTGAGAAGACCACCAAGAAGACTACAGCCGCATCAGTGGCCGACTATTCTTGTTTTCTTAATTCCTCGGGGCACTTATTGGCCCATCTGTTGTTGGATCATTCGTATATAGGTGGCTCAGCCCTAGAGTACCGAGAAGCTTAGGTCATAGATGCGTATTCATTGTTGCCACGGAATGCTTATGATGTCTATCGAGTTAAACACGAAAGGAATTTCCCGCATCCCACCCATTGCAGATACTTAGCGTACACTTGATGTCATATTAGGAATGGTCTGAGACCGGGCTTTATAGCGGCCGGACAAGCACCGATTACCATGAATTCATCGATTTTCATCCTCATTCTATAATTTACGTCTAAGCCAGACCCCTCTCCTTTGAAAAGCAGTATAGATTGATCTATCTCTCTGAGAAAGCTTAACATAATGAGCGACAAGGCAATTGCAGACAAACATGGCAATGATATCAATCAAGGCGATTATGTCGTCACCAGAATGCGCGGCGGAACACACGAGGGAAATGTCAGTAAACGAAATCATTTCATGGGCAGCCTTGGTTCGATTTATATGGGCTTAGTGGGCGAGGTGTGCTAATGACTCGTTATATGTAGGTGGAAGAGATTATCACAGACCAGCAACGAGCGAAAGAACTAAACGTGAGCAACCCGCCAAAGGTGAGTGGGAGGATACTATTCTAGTATTACGCTAGTCTTCATACTAAGGGCATCCCATTATCTTGGGTAGGTTCTCTTCGAGAACAAGAATGGTAAAATGGTGGCACATAATCCTGGCACTTTGGAGATCAACAACGAAGAAACTGAATGAAACAGGCATATGTCTTCAAACGGGGTAATATGAATAGCAGATCCATAAGTGGGATTACATCGCATGCATAGGCGTTATGGATTGGCTATGTATGGGTAACCTCAGTGGTATTGAAAGCTCTAACGAAAATGACAAGAACATGAATTTCAAAAGAAGTATCAGGGTTAGTGTTCAATCCAAAAAGGACCAGTTAATTACTGAGATTTAACTGAGATCTTCAACCAAAATTTCATCTGACACTCAGCAGTTTGCTTGCTCAGGCACCTACCGGTAAGCATATATGACAATGGCGTAGGATATATCTCCTCAAAAGGAAACGGCCGTCTGATGAAATTCTGTCAAAGTTTTTATACAGTTATTTAGAAAGCACTGTTGGAGTCGAAGCTGTGCTGAGATTCGCACAAACATGGCAGTGCTTTTAGCCTAGCACCAGTGTAAATTTATGGTTAGCCCAGCTTCATACGACTCTGATCTTCAGAGCATAACGTTTATCAAAGCAGCTAGCCCCACTTATATGGCGTCAATATCAGAAGGCAACAGACGTAATCTGACGCCATATTTCCCATTGATAATGCACAAGTCAATTCTAGGAGGCTTTTAGTCTTCATTAGATGCCTCATTTACAAAAGCGTTGAATTTTTAACTTATATCCACTACGGGCCGCAAAAGGCTAACATCATAATACTATATATACTGCACGTACCAAAACCCTATTCCTCAGTCCACATCCATTAGAGAACTGGTGGCTATCAGACCTGAATTACCTTCACGCTAGTCATGTGGCTAGCTGCTCGACTTGGAAATTGAAATTCCAGCGACGCCCTTTCTTGAGATACCGATCGACATTCCAGTGTCTCTGGTCTCTGGGGCGCCCCGACTTCCATGTCTGATAAGTTGACCCTGGTAGTGGTTGGGGATGAAGGCGTAGGGAAATCAGCGCTTGCAGTGCGGGTTCGTCATGTATTTCTCCTATACCAACTGAGAAGATACTGATTTCGACCATAGCTTTGTTTAGACCAATTCGCTGAGGGCTTCGAACCAACACTGGATGATTCATATCGCACGCGAATGGTGGTTGATAACAGGCCTTGTTTCCTCGAGATTATAGACACAGCGGGGCGTGGTGAATATGCTGCGCTCCGTGAAGATTACATTCGCGATGGGGAAGCATTCATTATTGCATATAGCATCACCTCGCGGGCATCCTTCTCTCACGTTCGAGCGTACTACAACAATATCAAAAAGGTGAAAAAAGATAAGGAGGTGGAAAATAATCTCCAGCTGTCGCCTTCCAAGCGCCAGTCTCGTTCGCCCATCATCCTGGTGGGTACTAAGACTGATTTGCAAGCCCAGCGTGAAGTCTCCTTCAAAGAAGGACGGATGCTCTCACAGTCGTTAGACTGCTGGTTTTATGAAACATCGCCTAAGTGTGGCTCAGATGTAGAGAGGACGTTCAATGATGTTATTAGATGCTTTCGGCAACATAATCTTCCCAGTCCTCCAGCGTCGAAGCGATTATGGAAGGGTCAAATTGGACGGAGGATTCATGACCCACGCAGGTGCATCATTTCGTAAATAGTATAACCGTTGATTATGATAAAGACCGCTTGGTTGTTACATCAAGAAAAGATGAAAATCGCGTGGTTAGAGGATATAAACGAACTAGCATGACCGTCCTAATTAATAAATGTGGGAATGTACTTTGTGTAGTTTGGTGGGGTCATGACGATGGTTGCCTGAACTCCCCCAGTTCAAACCTGGCTTCTCGCACTTTAAAGAGACCGCTCAAGAAAAAGAAAACACCAAAAATGCATGTATTATGCGTCTGCTGAGTTCCTATGGTGGTTCTCGGCTTTTCCCCTTTGGATGACACACTCGCTGACACTATGTAGGTCCACCACATCGACCGTTGGCCGACTGCGCCAACTGAGCGGCTCGATTGACCAGATTCGCAAAATAGGCGGCGTCCCAGGCGCTTCCATTGGAGTCCTTGACGATGGAGAAACTTTGTGGACCGAAAACTTTGGATTCCGCGACAAATCCAAAACAGCGTTTCCGGACGCAAACACCAAGTACGGAATCGGACATATCACCATGTCAATGGTAGCTGCTGGTGTTGGGAAGCTCGTGGACGATGGAAAGCTTCAGTGGACAACTCTCTTGAGAGAAATCATACCCGAGATTGATCATACTGATGCCAACTGGACCCACACATCCACAATAGCTGATATCCTAGCGCATCGCTGTGGCTTGGATGGAGAAATTGCAACATTGCTAGCTAACGGTAAAATTAGCGACATACGGCTTCCTCTCGAAGCGTTCTTGAAAACTGTTGATCGTATCCCGCGCCCACTCCCGCACCGCGAAAGCTGGCTGATGTGTCCGTGGGCATACACAATCGCTGCGCATATCATCGAGCTTATATCTGGGCAGCCACTTCACTTGTATCTTCAGGATCAAGTATTCCGTCCGCTTGGTATGACTTCTACCACTCTGTGGCCATCCTTTGAAGGGAGCAGTAATATCGCTGAACCGCATGCTTCGCTTAGCAACGGGGAGGCTTGTCCATTGGAATTTCAACCCAGGTTTTCGTTTACTTCGTTCAAAGGATCACGCGGAGCCTATTCGACAGTGAGCGATCTTCTCGTATGGGCCAGGGAAACAATGGCTGCAAGCGAAAACACCAGGACACTCACCAACACAGTATTGAAACAAATCCCACACATCCTCAGCAACCATATTGCAATGAAAATTCCATCGTTGTTGGAACGATCGTACGGATTCGGCTGGGCCAGAGCCCAGCTTCCTGGAGTTGTGGGCCTCCTTGGTGGAAACTCATCACTTTGGGAAATATCCGAGCAGCCTGTCTTCGGGGCTGGAAACCAGTCGAGGCTCATGATTTATCACCAAGGCGGAGGACCAGGGTACTCTTCATTTCTTGCTATCTTTCCTGAGACGCAGTCGGCCGTGGTAGTTCTCATGAACACCACTGCGACGAGCGATGCTGCTGATTGGATCGCGCGACTCCTAATCGAGGGTCTCTTCGACTTTGCCAAACCTACCGATTATGTAAATCTCGCAGAAGAAGGCAAACGACGAACACTCGAACGGCTCGCTACACTACGTGATAGATTGACGGAGGAGCGAATCCAAGGAGCACCACCACTGCCCCTTGAATGCTACGTCGGCAAGTACAAAAATATCATTCAAGTCCACTGTGAAAATGTCATCGCGGGATGCCCATTGCTCTCGCTGCCAGAAATCTTTTTCTTCAATCTCAGCCAAGCAACAGCATATTGAAGACTCCTCAAACCACAATGTTTGCGATGTCTGCTTCTCTCCACCAGACTATGCGACAAAAGATGACTTAGACGAACATCTGGAACACGAACACAACATATGTACCACCTGCGATCGACAATTCGATACCCCTAGCGAGCTTTCCGAGCACGACATGGTGACGCATAATATGTGCATGAACTGTTCGCAGTATTTTGACACCCCGGCAAATCTTAATAGCGTTTGTTCATCGGCCTCCATTCTCTTGGTGGTATATCACTGACGTACTCGAGCTAGCATATGGTCACTCATGTCCAGAAAAATGTCGTTTGTCCAGGGTGTACTCGTCGATTCGCTAGGAGTTCCGCAATGATTTTACACCTAGAGGCCGGAACATGTATCTCCGGTGTCGGACTTGACAAGATAAACCAATTAGCCTTTGAATGCCACCAAGCACGGAGCTATGAGTCCGATAATCCGGATTTCGATTTCGAATGTCCAGCTTGCCAAACACCATTTGCGTTGATGAGTGGGCTTCTGCAGCATGCAGAGAGCGGTTATTGTGAAGAAGTAATGGGAAAAGACAGCCCGCTCAGCAAATTCGTTCGCTTTGTCAGATCGCAAATCAATAGTGCCATTCATAGACATCAAGTCGGAAGGCCTACGCGACATCTTGCGAGACGTGCTGCACGACATCAAGGCCGTTAGCCTGATGGAGGACAAACCATCGGTAATTGAGACAGTATTATCATCAAGGAGCACGCTGACGTGGATTTAGATCGAGCAGAATTTCCTTTTTCATTTCCTCCCAGAGCTCGACAGATGTGCGGAGAACATGGATAGCAGTTCGGAGTGGTCCATGGCTCTGGGGCCGTCATGAGCAGACAGCAGTTGAGTTGGATAGGAGCTTTTTTCTGCTTTTCCCCGCCCCGACGCGATGACCACGCCCCATGTTGCCAGAGGTTGGTTCAAGAGCCCGAGGGCGCTTCAACCATTTCATGTCCTCCAAGTCAATGACAAACAAACGACCACCCAGGTCATCCCACAGCATATTGCGCCACTCACTGTCGCCGTGGGCAACTCCGTGCGACCGGAGCACGGTCAGAGCTCTGTCGCGCTCCCGGTGAAAGAAGCTGGAATTTTCATCGTTAATGACATGCTGAAGCCGTGTTCCAGACCAGCTCAGTACCATCATCTGCGCCATTAATCTGCCATGGTACCAATATGCAACGCGGGGTGTAAAGGTCCCAAGGCAGACGGGGATCTGGTGTCCCTACAAGCTCCTGAGGTAGCGATAATTGTCCACTTCCGCTTGAAGGAGATGCTGCTTCTCCGTCGTGGTAGCCTTAATGATCATAGTGTATCCGTGTAATAGAAGAGTAGCTTTGATGAGGTAACCCGTCCGACCACAGACGTGGAGTTGTTCAAACCCATGGTTTCGGTTTCGGGCAAGTTGACGGTGAAGCCGGCGTGTGAACTCCTACGGTCCTATAGAGTGTCTCTGGCCACCGTGGAGTTTCTAGTTAGGGCATTCTTTATCTAGAGGGCCTCGGTTGACCATGCCGCGGATGCAGGTAATTGTGTAGTAGGGTCGTGTAGACTGTCCGTCTTTCCGAGAGGTCTGTTTGTTATCCCGACCGGCTCGTGTGCTTTCGCTTTCCTTAGTCGATTAACGGTTGTTGCCTCGGCCGCGGCTCGACCCGCTACGCGCCGCTGCTGCGATAGATGGCGAATACGATTCTTTATCACTACCGCTACCTTCGGTCGACGAATGCTTCGGAGTAGACATGTCTAGTTGGTAGCGAGCACGGGATCGTGTATTATATATCTTCGGCTCTAGTTTCTAATGCGAGGGTCGATAATTAGAGGCTAGCGGGTCTTTACGGAGCGTTTCGGGAATCTTTCTTAATACGTCTAGGTATTCGATATTCTAGGTCTTTAGCTCGTCGCGTGCCGTATTATACCACTCTTAAGATAGAGCTTCGGCAGCTAGCGCTTAAAGGGTGAATATAAGTACCTAACCGATAGTAGTCCGGTAGAGGCGCCACTTATCGTCCGCCTATACGTCCTAATTCGGTATATATATATAATATTGAATAACTATAGGATCACCCTTCGGGATATAGAGAAAAATAAAAGCCTCCCCTATATAGATATAGCCGTATTAAACCCCACTATCGATCATATATAAGAATATCTAAGTGACTATAGCGGCGACGAGATAGGTAGTATAAAACTTAAACGTATCGCCTTCCTAGTCAATAATATCACGATTTAGATCTATCTAGTGTAGACCCGCCACTAATTCGGGGATTGTCACCTTATACGGCGCTTTAAACTCCACTATATACACTAGTATTTGCCGTTTATTAGCTATAAGGTGCACGTAGAACTAGTCGGCGCGCCGATTACGTCTTCGTATAGTGCTATCCCTCTCCTATCTCTACACCGCTCCTCTCCCCCTTCCTCTACCTCTTCTATACCTAGTTTTCGCTAGTCGTTAGGGTGTCCGCGCGTCCTAAAGATTCATTTGCTCTAAGCTGTTCTCTAGTGAAGTTTCTAATAGGTTCGCGCGGTCATAGAAGGTGACTCGGCCCTAGATTCTAAACTCATATCGAAGGGGTTCATCATCTCGTAACGCCTTAATAACCTTTTCGACGAAGTTATCCACCGTGTCTCGCTCAAAATTCCGAAGAGACGCTTGCGAATAGATCGGCCTGTTCTGGATATTCGTAACGACATAATCGATTTGGGTATCAGAAGGGAATAGTGGGCGCGAGGTAAAGGCACCCGTGCGGTCGAGTTTCCTCCAGACTTGCTCTTAGAGTTAAGGGAAGTCAAGCTAAGGGACTATACGCTTGGGGTAAAGTCGGTTCACTAGGTCGGTCGCGTCGCCCTGGGTTGTGAGGGTCGCATCCGTCTCAACTCGGATCGCTTGAGATAAAGAGGTGTGACAGCGATCGAGAAGGCGAAATAATGTGTTGGGCTGCACTCGCAGCTCTGCCTCTTCTCGCGCCTTTTTCTCTTCTTCTTCACGACGCTCTGCCTCTTCTCGCGCCTTTTTCTCTTCTTCTTCACGACGCTCTGCCTCTTCCCGCGCCTGTCTCTCTTCCTCTTCACGGCGCTGTGCCTCTGCTCGTCCCTGTCTCTCCTCCTCAAGCTGGCGTCGTAGCTCGGCGATTGTTTCTTCCATCGCTTGTTGAATCACTATTCAGCAATTAACCGAATAATTCCAATCGAAGTCAACATAGTAGGGGGTTCGCTGTCTGGCGCGGGGGAGTGGCCCATCAGGGCGGAATGCGTCCAGATGTTTACCAACCAGCTTACTCACCCCCTTGGCTTGCTTCATGCCTCAGGCACTAAAGGCACCAACATGCTTTGGCCTTTTGAAAACTATGGCAACCAGCGAATCGTTAAACGTTGAGCAAATAGAATATCAACAGTTATTGACGGGTAATTGTGGTGGTATTGCTTTCAATCGTTTATTGCTTTAAATATGTAGGTCAACCACGAAGGGAATTCTCGGTGAACGATTTCAAGTTTAGTAAAATCATTGAACAAAATTTTTGAATTAAATTATTACCGCTGGGCGAAACTAGCGGGCAGTTGATCACCACTTTAGCAGTAAGTGAAAGATGGTGTTTAATAGTTTTCATTGGCCTGTTTGTCTCCACTAATCTCGAGGTTAGTTACTGCGAAAGACGCCCAGCAGTAGCTTGACTTTAGTATCCGAGAAGGTCTATCAGAGAGTGTGCCACGTTGGTGCAGGTTATTACTGAGTCTAATGGATGGTGGATGCCTCAGCTTTCTAGCATTTACAATGACCTATAGGGAGGACACTAGTGAACATCGGTAAAAGCAGCAATAAGCGCAGTTCCTTGTTTGCTATACAGAACTTTGAACAAAAGACTTGCGCCTTTGCATTGCCTCTATAGCTGTTAACGATTTACCTAAACGAGGCTGGCTCACCCTAGCTTCCCTGTGGTAGTTCGCCCGCGGGAGAAAATCGACACTGGCATTCAGGTCAAGAAGCGATGAAGGTGCTCGAAACACACGGAGTGAGGTGTTGCCAATTTCGGTCTAGTGGCACTCTCAGCAAGAGTAAGAGATACTCTAACCATATTCGGCCACTTTCGTCGACACCGAGTAGTCATGAGATACTCGTTTTAGATCGTGAGTAGACCTATGTTGCTTGAAATAAGAACGTACCACAGATAAGACGTTGACACCCCTGAGAGAAATCTAATAGGAGTGGTACTGGGATGAGAGACTGCTTTTGTGTCTATGATAGAGCTATGTAGAGTATTCTGGAAGTGGTAACATGAAAGGGCGTTGACAACAGATTATTTTTCAGCCAGCTCATTTCAAGAGTGAGGTCACCTTGGAAGGCAGAAAATAAGAGACTTCTCTCAAGAGGATTTGGCTCATGGGAACAACAAATTACCAATGCGGTACGTATTTTGACCATGAGACAGTTTGATACGCACTCTCCGGCAAGCTCCTCAGTCCAATCAAGTCTTCCGTTAAGATAAATCCTCGACCCACACAATAAAAGGCACAGACAAAAGAAATTGGAATCAAAGCACGAAGGGGGATTTCCAAGTTGGGATCCTGCTCAGGATCAATATTCCTAAGCCTCGCGGCAAGACGGCTGATCCATCTGTTTTTAGACCCTCTTTTCCGCTTCAGTGTAGCTTGTGCCCTTGCTTTTGCTAACTCCGGTTGAAACATTTTTCTGTGAAAGTATAGCGAAAGAGGACCTGCAACCAACGCAAAGGCCAAGGTATTCACACTAGTGATACGCCAAAGTAGCTTCTCTGTCGCGGACGGAAAGGTGGAATTCCAGGCAATAAGAAACACAGAGCTGAAGAGAAGGATTGTTGGGGCACAGATTATCTCCGCCTGGGTATCCACGTTTGGAATGAAATGACTTGGAATGCGATCATATGGTCGTCGCTCCGGCCGAGTAAATAGCGGTATATGTATATAGTGTAGGATTTGAACGTAGTATTTCCAAAATCGAGCACAAAACCACTCATCCCGCGAGAGGAAGTCGAGTGGTGTTTCATACCACTTCGATCCGGAATTTCGACCAAGATTATTCCGAATAATAGCCACGGATTTCTTAGGTTTTAATATGATTGGTTTGTCAATATCCATAGGTTTGTGATACCAGCAGTAGGATGTGACGAGAAAGACCAGAATAAAGGAGAGGGTAGTGAGCTCGAGGGTGGTAAGAAAGAGTCCCTGGGCAAAACGAAAGGTGCAGTTTAACGAGAACCATAGGACTTGCGCTATTGTCATTAACCTACCTAGGTAAGCATAGTGAATAAATAGAAAGGAAATTTCAATTAAGGTAGACCGTGACTTACCTAGCTAGTCCATCTGCTTTACTCTTATCTTTAATTTCCTCTTCTTCCAATATGGGATATTCAACGTATCCCTCCTTGACTAGGATATAGAGCTGCTTGGCGTCCAAAGGAAATGAAGGTAAAAGATCTATTTCCGGGGGCTCTATCCAAAAGCCCCCCATATCGGCAAAGAACGCATGCTTAATAGTCCAGTCTTTATATCCAGCCTCGTAGAAATTCTGCTCCGTCAGCTTCGACATCACACCGACGTATGATTAACTTATAACCCACCTTAACAGAGCAGCGCGCAGATGACCATTGGCCCAGAGCTAGCATCAATAGGAATTCGGATCCGAGTATTGCAATACAAGCAAGATCGAATTTGTATCTCCATTTTCTGAACGCGCCATCGGATTGGGCAGGCAGGTTTGGAGACACGGATGTCCAGCAACAGAGAATGATTGTGAGAACGCAAGTGGATAAAATGCCCCACGTCCCTCTCCCGTCGGGCTCAGGGACCCAGCCACGGGTGGTTGTGATAGTGTCGTTCATGATTGATATACACCTGAATAAGATGTAGGATCAAGTTTCAGAGGAAGCTTAATATAGCTAATTGAGTCTACCTAGCGGTAGCGCACGTTCAAGCTAGTGGCTGATGGAAGGAGCCCGAAATAGCATTTTGGCACTACGGTTTGATTACGCGCCCCTAAGATTCACTGATATGCAGGAGCCTAGGAAATGGGCAGCTGATCGGCCTGAGTTCAGTACAGTAATTGTTAAATCTGCCTTGCGACCGCGACACCGCCCATGATGCACGGGCACTGCCTCGACCGCCCATGGCGCCTGTCAAGGCTCTGCGCGGGTCAGCAAGGACCCCTTTTAACTAACAACTCGGGAAAGGCAGAACTTAGCGACGGAGCAGTTCAGCTCCTAACTGCCCACTCAATTCTCGGGTGGCTATGTGCAGGCGCCAAGAGACCAAGAGTTTCCAGGCGCTAGCCCTGCCCAATCAACGATAAGTGATAAGTCTAGTTCCCATTAGAAGGGTTGGGCAGCGATCTGCCTGATCCGCCCCTGGTCTGGTCTGCTGCCCTAGGTGCGATATCCTTAAACGTAGTGGTCTCCGCAGTAGGCTCTTATTTGACCACACTGGGAATAGCGAGATGCTCTACCAATGTAACCGTGGCTTATAAATGGCAGTTCTCAGCCAGACAGCCACGCTGTCCCAGTGAGGATTGATTTCATTGGCTTACTTGCTGTGGGAGCGGGTCTCTGCAGTGGCTTTCATTGGGCGACAATATAACAGCGCTGCGGACGCTACACCGTGACTGAAAGTAGAGCTAGGGCCTAGCCGATCACTATAAAAAACCATGAGAATCCTCTTCTGTACAAAAATATCGAAGAAAATCCGTGCTCTCTCTGCTATCCTACTATTGAATTGAACAACACCGCCGCCTTAGATATATTTGTATCTCTGAACGCTCTCTACATAATGCCCCTTGCATATCATAATTAAGTTTGCCCTCTTCCAGTCAAAGATTGTTCCAATCTCTAACAATTGCGCAGAGTCCTGCAATGTGATGTCGTTCATTTTTTCGTTGGTAAAAATCGAAAGCAGTTCTCAATTCACTAGGCATTGGAAAGTTCTTTTCCAAGAAAGGCCCTTGAGCCAGCGATGATCGGGAGTATTGATGAGGAAGTTTTTGGTCGTTGCTGTGAGTTTGTATACTCTGGGGATTACTCTGCTCCATGTCCCGTTCCGCAGTCTCCCGGGAACGATATTTCGCAGCTAGAAAACAGGGAAACATAATGCCAGGAAGAGGCGAACAGATGGGATTCTTCTAGCCTAAATTGGAATCTCTTCTATCCAAAGGCGCTTTTGCTTAATTATGATCTCCTGCTGGCAAAACTTGATCATACACCACGATCGGATCTGAGAAGGACATACGCAATGACCCTTTCACGAGCTATACAGCAGTGTTTCTGAGTCACGCTGAAATCCATCGTTTTGGGGTCAGAACAGGCCGGCTTTCTCTTAAGGTCCTATCTATCATGACCTAATTTGCCTATTTTGGAATCGGCATCTTGCTCTTCTTAGCCAAAGTGAATTCTCTCCCTTAGGTTAGTATGATACGTATTCAAAATATTAAGTATCGCACCTCTCGCACCTAACTTGATGATCACGGGGATTTAGAAAGTTCCGTCGTATAGTGCCAAGTAAATTTCGTGATCGCCCCTCATGATGATGCACGCGCGAAGAGATTGTTGAAAAGTACATTCAATTATTTAATGAAGAGCATACACGACTTACTAGAACCGAGAAAATAAAGATGGAACATTTGTCCAAAGGTGAACCCAGCCCGAGGTTCGATGAGGATCAACAACCTCCTCAGGCAGGGTTGTTCAAGGTATTGGCGCGCTATGTGTCCTACTTTCGCAACCCGCAACATGTCTTGGTTTTCAAGCTTGACTGCTTGTTGTTGATATGGGCTTTTATTGCTGGAATTTTGAAAGAAATGGACCAAAGTGCGACTGCTCAAGCTTACGTTTCTGGGATGAAGGAATCTTTAAAATTATATGGAAATGAATTGATCAACTTCAATACATTCTTCTCTGTTGGATATGCTATCGGTTTGATTCCAGGTCAACTTATCCAGACCAAGGTGAGTAGTCTCGGAATTTCGACAAAATTAACTCACCCACTAACAATTTCAAGGTTCGCCCTTCTATTTTTCTTCCATTCTGTGAGATATCATGGGGAATCCTGGTCACCTGGTAAGTAGAATGAAGTCAAATTACTATTCAGCATATACTGATGACTTTGAACAGTATTGCCCAGGCACCAAATGCCAAAACAATATACGCATTGCGAGTCCTACTTGGATTATTTTCTGCGGTCTTCTGGCCTACCGCTGTATCTATGATCTTCAACTGGTACACACCAGCGGAGCTAGCCAAAAGAATCGCCTTCTTCAACGTATCAGACGCAGCAGGTGGTATGTTCTTAAGCGCACTTCAAGCCGCCCTTTACACCAACATGAATGGCGTGCATGGTATCGCCGGATGGCAATGGCTATTCATTGTCTCGGGTACAATAACTATTGGGCAAGGACTGCTCGGCCTCGTTATCATCCCAGACTCACCAGTTCTCACTCGCGCTATCTGGCTTACCGATACGGAGAAACGCATTGCACGAAAGCGTATGGCTGACTTTGGCGCCAATACCTCAAACATGATTCCTACCAAGGTTGCAGTACAGAAGTTGCGGAAACTCATCTTCCACCCTGTGACATACTTCTTCTTGGCTGCTTTTGCCTTGCAAGCCTGGGCAAACCGAGCAAACTCTTATTTCACTCTTTATCTCAAAGCGCTGGAAGACTCGTCAGGAAACCTTCGTTTCAGTACATACCAAGTCAACGTCATTCCTATGGGCGGTTATGCTCTCCAGATCCTAATCAATTTGGGTCTAAATGCGCTATCTGATTGGAAGCACTGGCGCTGGCAGATCAGTGTTGCGCCGGCCTTTTTGCTTGGCATTGTGCTTAGTGTGTTGAGCGTCTGGCCCTCAGATTGGGAGGTCATTATCACCTTTTATTTCCTTACATATGCGACAAATGCAGGAAGTCCATCCCTTTTGGCTTGGATGGCTGAACTCCTCAAAAAAGAACCGGAAGCGCGGTCTATCATTGTTGCGCTGACGGTGACAATTGTATACATTGGCCATGCCACAATTCCGATCCGCATTTGGAGGACGAGTGACTCACCTCGTTATCCGATCGGATTCCCTCTCGCGACTGCCTTTATTTTCTCGTCTATCTTTGTTCAATTTGGTATGCTTTGGTGGGGACGACGAAACACCCAACTGGCTAAATACGGATACGACGCGCCGTCCAATGTTTCAGCCAGGTTGGATGAAGAGAGCTCTGAGATCACAGAGAAATAATTGGTGGTATAGCAAAGTGATTCAAAAACTATGAATCTGGAAATATCAAGGGCAAGTATTCAATCACGGTTATTTATATCATTGTGTATGAAGACCTTGACGTGGGATTTTCTTCGCGCACATTTGCACTATGGTTATTATGATGTGACATTAAGCATGCGTCAGTACCACCCTTTAAGGAATAGTATATGTTCCCACAAAAGGTCAGGCAGATTGCCCTCTTCTCGTTCCCGTTGTGAGGTACAATTACGTAAGGCGTTATTTCAGGGCGTGTACATAGAGAGCGACGAAATGGCCCTAACATATACCGGGTTTGGTAGAGTTGATGGCAGCGTGATCAAAGCAAGTGACAGTAGTTCTTAATGAGCGCGTCGCACTTGCCGTATCACGTAGCTTCACTTATTAGACCGAGTGGGAATAAGAGGACAAAGTTATATGCAATAAAGCTACAGCCAAAAGCCATGAGAACTCGACTTTGAACTAGGCTCTTTAAGATTTTTTATTGCAGTTAAAGGGTTAACAACTAGTAGATAGGGACTTTCTTTTGAAACCAACGGCGTATGGCAACTTTTCTAGAGACGAACCCGACCAACTCCGTAACTCTTAAAATCATTTACGAGGGTCTATATTGTAATAAAGTCAAATCTTCCCTCGCAGAAGTCTGCCTGTCTGAATTCCATTGACTTCACTTCGAGATAGGAGCGAGGAAACTCTCGCTCTCACCCTATTAAAATCAACCAAGACGTCCTTAATATATGACTAAGCTACTGATTTCTATTATGGTTGATTCTAATATCTCTAAGTCTGTCAGGATAGTGTTAACAATTAAATATAAGCTACCGATAAAGCCGCGAGAACGCTTCAAAGTCACGGCTAAGGATATAGATAGACCTGGGCATGGCCCATTCTGGCCCATGGGCCGACCCATTAGGCCTATTTGGCCCATCCTAGGGCAAAAATTAGCGTGCATATAACTATCATAATTTATACACTTTAAACGAGGTCTTGGTAATAGACTTAAACGTTTTCGAACTCTTCCTGAAACACGCTGAATATTCCCCTCGGGCAAATTAGGCTCATCACCAGGCTCTCCCTCAGGCTCATCATCAGATAAAACACTTCTTTGCCTCTTGGAATTGAGTGCGAAGGGCCTTTCTCATCATCACTGATCTCTATTCTCTTATCTGCGTATGATTATCCACCTCTTCTTTCTGGAGTTCTTTCTCATCCTCACTGGCGTATGGGATTGGGCATAAGATTCGTCATTGTAAAAATCGCTAGTTTAGAAAAAAGATAAATCAATTTATTTTTGGTAGAGATATCCTGATTTAAAGGTCTCCAATGGGGGTGGCCGGGTCGGCCGTGTGACCCGCTCAGCGTGAATTATGTCACACAAAAGTAATTAACTAACTAGTTAACTATAGTTATATGCACATGGCACCGCTGAAGTGATCAAATCTCATTGATCAACGGCTTCAGATTCTCCCGGTTTCTTATGCGACTCAGGACTATACGGTCGATTGCATATCTGTCACATCCACTATTATAAACACTATATCTCTGCCAAACTCTGTGTTACCACTCAAGTCAGATTCAATAACTGCCTGCACTGGATTCATCCACTGGATAAAGTTTTCCAGATCAAGCTAGTGAATTTGAAGGTTACACAGCGGGATGATCTCAACATACTACTGATTTGGATAGTCTACCGTGAAACTAGTGATTTTGCGCGTCGCAGGTCAAATGAATACAGACGAGGATCATCAGACATTTGAGGGTCCTATCAGATAAGACTATATCGGACTGGCTGAGTGATGTTCATAAATAGATGAGGTTGCAGCACTAATATGCGACATCTAAAGTTCTTATCTGTCACTGCTTATCAGGCTGTGCCACCATAAGGGACCATGGAAAAATTATACAGTGCTGGCTGCAAGGATTTCCCTTTGAATGTTTAAAGCGAATGTTTAGTCTTGGTCAGGATGGCCAGCTTTGGTGGCTCTCAAATTTTCTGTTCTTTAATGATCCTGTGTTACTTTCTGAATCGGTTCGTGTTCTGTGCTTCTCATCTGTGCCATATCTATGGAGCCAGATACACCAAACTCAGCCTCCAGCGCCAGATTCACTTGCGTGCCTTGCATGTTGATATAGTGATGAAACTTCTAGCATTCGGCTGTATAGCGATACCGATGTTTATGCTGCATGTGGAAGGCGGCAGATTGTCTGACTCGTTCAGTTCAAACATTCTGCTTTCAGACCTGGCCGTATTCTCAACATTTTGCCTAGGTGCTTCGATTGTTTTCGACCTTATTTGCAACATACTCTACAAGCAATATATATCACACACCACTTGGGAACAATTTTGGCAATGGAAGGGATATTGGCCATGGTCTTGATTCTGCCTATCAACGACTCTACCGGAATAATCAATACAATAGGTGATGGGCAGATCATGTTATGGTGGGGTATGTATATAACACCTAGAGTGATCCTTCATTATCTGTCTAACATGATTAGTGCTATTTTCCACCGTTGGTGATCCCTTCACCCGCGTTGCTTATCTCCTGCGCCATATTTTCCCACAAAATTCGGTGTTTCTCTATAGGGCTTATCTTTTCTGCTTCTGCACCTATGCAATCGTTACCTCTCTTGAAGCCATGATTGTTGCATCTCTCCTCTACGCCAAGCGGGAACAACTTCCTCAGGGAGCCACAATAAGCATATGTTTACTTCAACTTCTCTTTACGGCTACAAAAGCAAAAGCTGGAGGGAGGGTGCTGAAACTATACAAGAAGAGAGATAAGAAGATATAGCCAGTCCAAGTGGAAGCAAGATATGTTATAAAATTTCAAAGTACTGGAGAGTCACTGGCAGGGCAAGCTGTAGATTGTTTGACATGCTGAAGGTTGAGACCAAATTAAATCCCTTCCTGTAATCTATTGTGTTTTTTTTTCTCATTGGAATCTTGAACCGTGGCTTTCTGGCTAGAATACATGCTTGGATATCCTTTTCTATGTTTGCTCCTTTGGGTGCCTCCCGTGATACATGCCGAGCCTTCGATAATGTAGTTATATTCGAATAATTGAATGGAATTTTTGGTGCGGCAGGATAATGGCAGGAAATAGCGGTGACTGAGAGGGATAACAGACACTGTGCTGCCTGTTTGGTTCTAGTGGCACTCTCAGCGAGGGTAAGAGATACGCTAACCACATTTTGACATCCTAGTTCTCGAGCTCATACTATGCCTGCGTGGTTCTTTACCATGACCAGATTCCACAAATTCCATAACCAAGATGAAGCCGGAGGTTGCATTCATCTATCAAACCAACTTTGATGACGCTCCCAGGACCTATACTGGAGACGTCTTGCGCCGAAGGTCGAGAGCAAGGCTGCCTTTGTTCGAGTATACTCAGAATTTAGAGTACAGTGGACAATGGGTAATCCCAGCCATCCATGGATGGATCGCCTTGTTGGTTGGGAAAGAAGGAAGAACCCAAATAATTGAGTATCCCAACTACCCAATTTTTCTTTCTCGGCCAACATGTCCACCGTGTCGGCTAATGAGAGTTTGCCGCTAAGAACAACCGTGCCGAGCATATTATTGTTCATCGACACGGTGATGTAGCGATGAGAATATATCGACTGGCAGCGATCACAGGTGAGAACAAAGCACGCCATGTGAATCTGAAAATTGCCTCGATTTCACGCCGATTTTTGAGGGTTGTCGCCCAGGTTACTTTGTCAAATAGAGCGTGAAAGTAGGTGCCGCCAGGCGGCTTTTACGCTACATCCGCTATTGGGTGAAGCGATGCGGTGAAGTTTCTTTCTTTCAACGATAGAAACAGGAATTTGGTCTTCAATAAACCTCACCGATAGTTGTATTATTGTATTACTAATGGCGCTTTGAGGTCGCCTCCTTTCTGTTGTGGCATGGGACAGGATTCAGAAGGATCATTAGACCTGCGGAATCCTGCAAGGCATTCAGGGCTTTGCCAGGCCCAGGCCATCCACGAGTCAACCGGCGGTGCAACATGGACACAAGATTCAGGTGGGCTCTGTGGCTCGTTGCTACCCATTATGTCCGTTGTCCACGGGAGTGGAAAGGATCGCTTCGGAGAGACCGCGGCCGAATCGTTAATCGTTGTAGACAAAGATGGACTTAAGCCCATTCCATCTTTGAACAATTGCAGCCAGTCTGCATTATCTGCTGCAGTTTGATTCCACGGATCTTCATCGCCATAGACAAAATAGCGTGCGTCATGTTGGATAGAGTGATCGGTTACAGAAACTCCAATTGCCTGTCTTTCTCGTACAAAGCGAATCAAGCGTTCCGTAAACTGTTCAAATGGAGTGGGCTAGATATCTCGTTTTTGCTGCAGACAGGACTCATTGTTAGTAAGTTGATCGATGCCATTCCGCGTGTTGAAGCACTGAAAGGATTGATGCCAGTAGATTCAGCCAATGAGATAGGGCGGCATGGCATTCTCTACGGCAAGGGCCACTGCAGGATCAAGACCACGACAGCCTTTCCAGTCATTCATGATGAGACCCTCCCGAAAATGGGCTACAAGGTGACTATTCTGGTCCGTCCACCAAGTAAAAGTTTCCTTGCAAAAGCCACATGCGAATTAAGATGTGTCACTTCTGATCTAAATGATTCCTCCACCTGAGAAATACTGTTCGCGGTTCCATGCACTAAGCGGAGGTGCTGGATAAGATGGTCTTTTCGATAGAATGTTCGGAGGACGGATGGCTTCTCTGGCATTCCCAGAAGCGATGATCACGAACATGAGTCTCGGATGGGTTTTCTATATCTGTGGCCGAACAGATTGATGACTCATCCACGCCTTTCGAGTTAGTAGATTAGGAAATGGCGGGTTAAGGTTATTACCCAACAGCCAATCAGAGCTACTGACTGCCTCCCCACACGCCCCATTTCCTAATTAAAATACCTAACCGGCAACAAAATTGGGATTAAAAGATTTGTAGACCAGCAATACGCGGGACTCGTAGTTGGTAGACATGAATGGGGTGTGATATAATGCAAAAGCATTGCGTTAATTCCGCTCTTGATGTATATACATTATTAGTTCAAGCTTGCTGCCCCTTGTGTTCGAAACTGACTGTCACTCTCTCCGAATGCGACGCGTCGCCATCCAAAGTCGATCCTTTCGACATGCTATTGGCAACCTTCACAACGTTCAGAATGGAAATATCCTGTTGGAAAATATCTTCCAGTCTCTCCAAACTCTGTCCCATCGTTTCTGGATACAAGAAGAATACGAGTATGACAAAAGTTGCGCAAAGGACTGCGTATACAACCCAATATTGATACCCGATGGTGGCGAGTGCGGTTGGTGTGACCAGTTGAACAACGATGTTCCTAAAGACCATATAGAATTAGCACTCGCATTCCCTAGCAAAAAAAAAAAAAAAAAAAAAAACCAA